CTTCACATTAATGTGATTTTGTGCAAATGGTACTCAAGAGTGCAGATCTGAAAACAAGAGCTATCCCACAGAATATTATAATTATTAGCATTCTCATCATTGAGACTTTCAAACGGACACAGGAGAAAAACACTTCTTGGTTTAGAAGGTTTCATTTAAAAACAAATAACCTACACGAAACCAGAGGCAATTAGTTTCAAAATTACCAAAACACAGTAATAATTTAGTCCTTATTTCAATTAACAAATGGGAATGTAGGTATGGCTTGCTCTCAGAGTACTCCTCAAAAGTCGTAATTAAAATTAATTAAATGTCAAATGCCTTAGGAGACCTCATTAATTAGTGGAATCCTGAGCGAATCTTTTTGTAGAGCAATTACTTTGAAAAATAAATAGTCACTTCCAGATTAATCTTTTTAGTACCTAAACCTGAATATTACCATGTCAGATTTATTTAAGAAAATCTGGCTTTTAATGCCTTTTCTAATGTTAACATTTGATACAGGGCAAAAGCCCAAAGACAAAATAAAATAAAAACTCAGTCAAATCAGTTCTCACAGCCACTTCCCTTAGTTTATAAACAAACATCTTTTTATAGCTTTTTTCCTAACTTTGGTAGTCATGTGAGGTCCCTAATTCTGTAGGGTGGATACCTCCAGGTGGTGACACCTGGTTACACCGTGACCTAGCCTAGCCATGCTGAGGAACAGAATTTGCCAGGACAACTTGTTAGTCTTTTTTTTTTTTTTTAAAGATTTATTTATTTATTATTTATTTGTCAGGGGCGGGGGAGGGAGAGCATGAACAGGGGGAGTGAGAGCATGAACAGGGGGAGCGGCAGGCAGAGGGAGAAGCAGGCTCCCCCCTGAGCAGGGAGCCCGATGTGGGGCTCAATCCCAGGACCCTGGGATCATGACCTGAGCCGAAGGCAGACGCTTAACCGACTGAGCCACGCAGGCGTCCCAGCAACTTGTTAGTCTTAATATTTCTATTCAGGTTTGTCTGGGAATTTCAGTTTCTTGACGTGAGCTTGCAGCCTTAGGGCTACATGTGGCTTTTTCCCAGGTGCTCTAAAGCTCTTCAAAACCCCAACTGCCCCCATGAAAGGATTCGACATTACTGGGGTCCAGGATGCTGAGCATTTCTGTACCTCTTCGATGAGTACAAATCTGGCTCCACAGCTTGGTAACTATAACATTAACACCTAGCTTATCAAATGGATATTTTAATTAGCAATAATCGCGCCTCAGATGGGAAGAATGTTTTGTTATTTTTAAACCCAATTAGGTTTTTGTAATATCTCAGAGACCAGTAAAATGAAACTATCACACATGCTTTTGGAATGTGGGGACAAAGGGCCCCTGCCTGGGTGCTGGGCTGACTATGGAGGGAGAAGGGCCTGTTCCCGTCAGCCTCCTTGACTCTTTGAAGAGGTCTTATACCCTCATTAAGAAAGGACTGAGGGAAAAAACCTCCCAAAAAATCATTTTCCATCTGACCCTAAATTGGAATCTGTCCCATATTGAGTTACGGCTACTATTTACTGAATACTTACCAAGTGCCAGGGAACAGTGCCAAGTACTTTGTACAGTACAACAATGCAATGAAGAAGCTGTTATTCTCCCCACAGAAACTGACTCAGGGAGGTTAAATATTTTGCCAAAGGTATGAAGCTACTATTTAAGGGTGAGGAGGATTCAAATCCATGGCTCCTTTTTTTTTTTTTTTTTTTTAAAGTAGGCTTCACACCCAGCATGGCGCCCAGCGCGGGGCTTGAACTCATGTCCTTGAGATCAAGACCTGAGCTGAGATCAAGAGTTGGATGCTTAACCGACTGAGCCACCCAGGCGCCCCTCAAATCCACGGGTCTTAAAGTGATGTTACATGCCTCTAATTAGAATTGCAGCACAATGCGGGAAACACAGTAAGCGTTATCGCTGAAGGGGAAAGATTTACTCTCACGGTCACAGAAAGAAACAAAGACCACCAAAATGTGCTGGAGACAGAGCACAAGTACGTGTTATAACTTCAGACACTGAAACAGGAAGGGAAGGAGGAAGAGAAGAATTAGGAGAAAAGGGACAGGTGGACATGCAATGGAGCCATTCTATCCCTGGATGTTAACACGAATGGGTCATGCACTGTGGCAAGTAGACTGCATTCGCCAAGTACCAGCTTTGCTTCCCTTACTATGAAAGACATGCTTTCTTTGACTCTGTTCCATTGCTCCAGCACCTTCTATCCCTAAAGACCTGGTGGGAGTTGTCACCTTCCCAGATGATGTCTCACTTGAAAGCTTATCACTGTATTTAATTATCAGGCAGGATAGCTGTTAGGTACATGGTATGTCTTTCTCCCAGGACTCACTCCAGTATAACTTTCCAGAGAAGTTTTATTTAATTCTGTGGGAACGCTTGAATTTATGCCCCATTAAAGTTCCCTTTTGAAAATTACAAGCTGAAGCCACATCTAACAATTATGACATTTCTTTGGATCCCACATAGTTCCTAAAAATGGAAAACTCATTTCATGGTCACAGAGCCAAGAAAAAATATGACTTCATTGGAAATGCCTAATTTTTTAAAGTAAATTAAGTGATTTCAGGTGTTTAAAAAAATTTTTTTTAAGATTATAGCATTCTATAAACACTGGACATGCTCTGAAAAGACTCTCTTGTAAGACATTACATCTGAGACTAGAGACCAAAATCTCCTCCTGTGAAGTTTGCTTTTGCTTTCAAATTTAACTCTCATATTTTTTAGTACCAAGGTCAAGAACACAGCATCTTAATATTTATGTTCTTACTCATCTTTTATTACACCACAGAAAAAACAACTGGCGCTAGCTTCCTATTTCTAGACTTAGTTACATAATGACTTTGGGTATGACCATTATGGATGAGTCAATCAATCATCTGACAAACATGAGTTCCCACTATGTGCCAAGTAGGACCAAAGTTCTATAGGAACAGCTCACCTGGTCACACTCCTATTGAAGATCAGGGTTCCAAGCTTCCAGTAACATCAAATATATAGTTGAGTTGAGACACACTGACCACTGCTTACTTTCCCGGAGGACTGTCCCCTTAGTTTTTACCTGCTTTTTTGGGGGTGGGTTGGAGTGGGGGAATATCCTCTGACATGAATAAAAATACCAAGGACTCTAAACTTCACCAAAACTTCCCCGAAATTTTCCACAGCCCCTACTAGGTACTGGGATCTCTGGGCTTGTGTCTTGAGGTCTATGGAAGATCCTCCAACGAGCAAGGTAAAATCCAGGTCTGCAATCTCTGGGGAGTTCCTGCATCTTAGAGCAAACAGCCGGGGTGGGGGAGGAGTCCCCCTCAGGAAACTCTGTAGCAATGAGGTCCCTGCATGGACAACTAAGCGGGATGCCTGCCCAACATTCAGGGCTGTCCATGACCTGGCTCCAGCCTTTTCAGCCATCACTCCCCTTCTATACATTCTAGTCACCCTATTCTACCAACTCAACAGCACTTTCTGTTTTCCCTCACCTGTCTGTCCCAGCTTCCTTCCATACCTTTGCTCATGCTATTCTGTCTGGAATGTCCTTCTTTCTCATCTCTGCTCTTTTAACTCATGCATGTTCCCTCAGCTCATTTAAAATGCCATTATCTCCATGACGACTTCTCTCATGCATCACCCAATGAGAAGTTTCTTTCTCCTCTGAATTCCCACACATCGTGTCTATCTCTCTTCTATTGTTTATCACATTTTAACCTGTATGACAGTCATTGCATTTCATTTGTTAACTTCCCTATAAAATTGAAAGATACCAGAGTCCAGAGTGCAGGTCTTATTTATGGTCCTATTTCTTGCATCCCACTCAGTATTTCCATGGTTTTGAAACTGGGTTCTGCACAGCTGCAGGGTTCCACAGAGGTGTCCTGAGACCACCACGGGGAGCAGAGAGAATAGATGCATGCAGAGAGACCCTCCCCCTAAATGTGCTTCAGTCAGATGGGTTCTGAGTTCTTCTATTTATTGTGATTTGTGTAAGCTTTTTTTTTTTTTTAAAGGATTCTGCCAGATAGGAAAAAAAAATTGCAGTAGACACTGTCGAATAAATGAACAAAACTATACCCAATGTCTCTAATGCTTTCACAATTCAGATATAATGAAATCCAATGATTAAAAACAAGGAGCAAAGGTTCAGAGAGTGCCTGTCAATGAAAGAACATGGTCAAAACAGAGGGCCCTTTCTCCTGTCCTGTACTGACCTTTTTACAGTAAGATTTGATAGAAGCCTCTGGAGCCGTGAATGAGTTCTGTTTAAGGTGTTAAACAGAAGCACGCTGGCTCGGGTTCTGCTCTGGTGTGTGTCCATGTACACAAGCACACCTACCATGCTTTGATCTCAATGTAACTTCAGGGAAGTTGGAAGGATTAGAAACCACGCTGATGTCTCTTGATCCCCACCCCCACTCCTCTCCCCCAAATAAATCTACTCTTCCTTCAGTCTGCCCCACCACTGTAACTGGCACTGATATCCACTCTGTTGCTCAGGCTAAAATTCTAGGAGTTTTCCTTGATTTCCCTCTTTCCTTCACTACGCACACCCAATTTATCAGTAAGTACTGTCGGGTCGTTCCGAAGCCGCTCACTGCTCCCCGCCATCCACTGCTACCACCTGCTGTGGTTCAGGGCATCGTCATTTCATACCTCCCGTACCGTAATGCCTCTTCTCTGGTCTCCCACTGTCTGCCCCCTCCTCCCTATTATCCATTCTCCAGGCAGCAGCGAAAGGCATGTTTAAACCTCTTCCTATTCAAAACTCTCAAGGTTTTAAAAACTTGAACTCCTAACTGGTAAAAATAATCTAGCCGGCATTTATATTTCACTCCAAATGAAGCAAATTTGCTCATCCCGATCATTTCCCACTGGGAAGTTTTCCTTTCATTAGGAAAGAAGATAAATTAGTAGGTGACCGAGCAGAGAGACGGAAGGACTGACACATCACTAGAGAACAGAAATGACTTACGGCTTCAGATTTGGGAGGCACTGGAGGTGGAGGTAGGGCAATCTCTGAAGACTTCATGGCTACTCCCAGAGTTCCGGGCACAGGAAGAGGAGAGGTCGCACATTTGGACCGGACGGACCCTCTAGACTGATCGCATCTGCTCTTCTCGCTCAGGGAACGCGTGAGAGGCTGATGGCTGGGCTTGCCGTCCTCCAGCCAGAGCTCTTCATAAGGAAGCTCTGACTTCCCGGGGATGCCTGCCGATTCTTCACCGGATTCCGGGAAAAGGTAGTCGCTCCCACTGTCACCCAGGTCCTGATAGGGCAGGATGTCATGAGGAAAGGGGGCCCACTCGCCCCCCAGGTCCCTGCAGCCATGGAGGTTCACCTCACTGTTGCCATGGAGATTGTTGCCATACACACAGACGGAGAGCCGGTGGAAGGACTGGGTGAGCTCATCACGGGCATAGCTAAGAGAACTGGGCACGTGGTTGTGGCCAGAGCACCGGCCCTTCTTGGGGCTCTTGCAGTCCTCATTCCAGTCAGTTTTCACATCTCGGACAGCCCGGGAATACTCGTCGATGTCGAACTGTTCTTGGCAGATACCCAGCCAGTGATGGACCAGGGTCTCGGGCCACACGTCTCCCTTTACCAAGTGTTCTGGAAGGCTAAACTTGGGGACCGTCAAATGCAAAGGGAAGTGCATGGGGAGGATCTTGTTGTTCCGCAGCACACAGCAAACCACCACTGTCTTGGTCTGGATGTTCACAAACTTGTAGCGATGCCCCTCGCGGATGAAGTGGAGGTCGTACGGGTTCCTGGGTGGAGGGCTGGGCACAGTCACGTTCACGGGGAGCCTGGTTTTCTCCACAATGTTGCGGATGGTGTGTTCGCCCTCCTGCATCTGAAGTTCCAGGGGACTCCGGGTGCTAAATCTGCCCTTGCACTGGAATGGCAGGCTAATGCTTTCATTGGTCCGATGATTCATGCAGATCAGGCATGGCATTTTGCCTTTTCCCAGCTTGCTGATGGAATTGAGCTTCCCGATCTTTTTGAAAATTGTGTTGAGTCGTGACTTTTCCTTGAAAGTCTTTGCGTACAAGATTTCTGCCTGCCCCATGAGAGTGAGTTCATCCCCAGTACAGAGGGTGATGTTATAAACTTCGGTGTCCTCGTTGCATTCACCTGAAGCAACCTACAATAGGATAAATCAAGTTTGAGGTGAGTTGCCTTTAGTCCATTCCCACAGAAAAGTGGAGAACTTGCCAATAAGACACACAAGCTCGCATACAAAAAGGAAAATGCTGTTCCCATACTAAATTTAGCCACTCCGTTTCTTTTATAATGTTTATATGGCTAACAGTAACAAGAAGATATTCGTTTAGACTTGTAAAAACACACTTTGTTCTGAAGAAATGAGCAATCTGTTCATGAGTAAAAATTTGGGAAATACGGAGAAAAGACACAAAAAGAAAATAACACCCACAGGCCTGATTCAGAAATAGGCACGGTTAATGGTTTGATAAACATTCTTCCAGTTTCTTTGTCTATGCAGAGTAGCCTATCATGCGGATAATCATTTTGGGACATTACTATTATCATTCTCTCTTCCAATTATAAAAAAAAAATGCTTCCATGAACACCACTGTGGAAAATCCCTTATTTTTTTTTTACTATTAAAATTTTATGAAATTTTCTAAAATTGGAATTGGGACAGAGGATGTAAAAATGTTTTATTTCTCCCTGTTCTTTAATTTTATTATACAAACTATTCATGTTCATTGGCAAAAATATTAGAAAATATAAATGTAAAAATGAACAAATTCTATGGTCTTGCCACTAAAGAGAATCTGTATTAACAATTTTATATAAATAGAGAAAAAGAAATAGATGTGTCATCTATCTTGGAGATATATAAATACACATACACAATTTTGTTGCTTTGTTTCTCACTATATTCATTTTCTCGTGTTTAAGTATAAGCAGTCGGTTGCCAGTACTGACCTTATGTATTTGATTATCTGGGCATAAGCCTTAATTTATCTGACTAGCTCCTTATTGTTAGACAGATGGCTTTTCCCAATGTTTAGCAATTATAAATAGTACTGCAATGAATTTTTTTTACAGTTCAACTATTTCCTTAGGAGAAAGGCCCCGAAGTAGAATTGCATGGACAAAGCTATAGATATGTATTTGAAAGGTCTAATATATATCTCCTATTGTGCTTCAATGTTACACTTATTTATACTTCTTCCACTTTATGAAATTACCTGTCTCTCCATACCCATGCTAAGTAAGTTTAAGGTTTACCAATATTAAAGGTAAAGCATGCATCCTGCATTTATTTATTCATGTTTTATTTTGATTTGATTTATTTATTAGGATAGTTGAATGTATTTTGGTATTCATTTATCTGGCCATTTAGATCTCCTCCTTTGTGAATGTCTGTGCCCTTCACCCATTTTTCTATTGGGATGGTCATCTTATCGATTACTTTTTATGTCATGTGAATGTCATTTATGCTATATATTTTCCAATTTGTTGGGTGAATTTCAACTTTATAACTTCTTTAAGTGCTAAAGTTTTTTCTTCCTATGTGGCAAACATTTTCAAAAATTTTTCTTTGTAATTTCATCCTTGGGTGGTATGCTTCTACTAGTTGAGATGATATTATCAGTGGTTCTGAGTTAGGGGTGATTTTGCCCCCACTCCCCAGCCCCTGGGGACATTTGACCATGTCTGGAGACATTTATTGGTTTCATGGCTGGGAAGGTGCCTCTTATATCTAGCAGGGAGAGGCTAGGTATGTTGCTAAACATGGTACAATGAACAGAACAGCCCCTCACAGCAAAGAATTATCTAGTCCAGACTTCAGTTAGTGCTGAGGTTGAGAAAAACTGAGATGATTAGCCAATATTTTCTTCTAGGATTTTGATGGTTTCATTTATTAACTATTTAACAGATTTAATTAAAATTTCTTTGATGGACTATTAAAGGTAACAAATAATGCAAGATATGTTAAGAAAAAAAAAAGAAGAAGAAGAAGGTAGCGGGAGGGGAGGAATGAAGCGGGGGAATTCGGAGGGGTGGACGAACCATGAGAGACGATGGACTCTGAAAAA